TTGTCATAGCTTTCCTGCCAAAAGCAATTGTGTATGTCCTCATCTACTCTCCCCAAATGATTTTAACAGAAATTCTGTGTACTTTATAGAAGTTCTATCCATAAGTATTTCAGTATGTGACTGTAAGGACAGAAATCATTTTAACCAAGTAATTTATTGAATTTATCTTAAACCATTTTTATTTTCCTAGATTAAATTATATTTGCGTACTTTGAGGCTTTTGTGTCTGTACTCATAGGAAACATTAGTGTGTTACCAAAAGATTCCTTCTCATCTGTCTTGGGAAATGACAGAATAGGTGGTATCCTGGGTCCCTATTTCATCAGGCTTTTCTCTGAAATTTTGGTTGGATGAACGGACTCACCTGCTGAAGTTTGAAATACAGTAATATTGTTAAAGTGTGTGTTTTGTGTTCAGTAGTTTTTTTCTTGTTTTTTTATTAGCATGTATGTGATTTTCTGACTCTTAGGCTCTTGAATAGTTTAAGGAACAAAATTCCATTTTTCCCTTGAAGAGGTAGAGGAATTTATTTACTAAGCTGTCTTTTCTGGGCAGATAATTTTGGAAGAGCAGGACAAAGATAATACTCCTTGAATCAGATTGAGTAACATAGTTTTCTAGGAAATAACTTTGTCTTTATATAACAGCATGTGCTGTTCTCTTAAAGAAATTTGCTTAGTATTTGTAGTCTTTATGTTTCTCTTCTCATTCTTAGGACTGTATTTGTTTTCTTCCCCCTTTTTCCAGACTGAATTTATAGACTTTTTGCATTTTGCTTTCTAAGTCATGTTTTCTTGTATCCTTTAATTTGTCACTCTTTTCGAGGGTGTGTTTGTTGTCGACTTTTTTTGCTTCTTGAACTGACTTCTTTATTTTAAATCTTGTACAAAAGGAAGGTATTTAGGAGATGATCCCCCAAGCGTAGACTTATTTCATAGGTTTTAAAATGTAGTATTCTCTTTATTGTTTCTTTTAATAGTTGGTTTTTCAGTTTTGATTTTTTTAGGTAAGTAGTTATTTTTTTATCAGTGTGTTGTAAAGAAGAGATCCACATCAGATATCTCAAGTAAAATGGGATTTAATCATAGGGATTATATGATCTCACAGGAACTGAGGCCTCCTATGACTTCTGGAATTGCATCTATCTTTCTAATTTGCCGTAGTAGTTTTTCTTACAGCATCAGCTCAATCATGCCTTTGATGGATTGATGATGTATCTGATTTTTTTAATGCATCCTTACTTACAAATGCAGGTGTAGATTATTTTAATACTGTAGCTGGAAAAGGTGATATTAATGATGTGATTTGTTAGTTTGTCTCAGCAGCTCTTCTCCTTTCCCTATGTCATAGCAGATGGAGAATCTACAGAGCTGTATTGATCTTTACCATGACATCTAACCCACTAGAGCTTCCCCAAATTCTGTGCTTTTTTGGGCTCACATAGCACCGTCAACTTGCCTTCACTCCTATATGTAATGTTTCAGTTGTATAAAGTTCCAGCTTTACAATTTTTTAATGATTTTGACAATAAAAAGCTTGTTTTACATTTCTAGTCTTAATTAAATGTCAGTTAACCTAGATTAGCTTTATTGAATCAAATTAGCTCTTCTTAGCAATCACATTATCTTTTTAAAAAATCAGTCATGCCGGCATAGTTCATAAATTTTCTTAAAAGTCAGTCCACAAACACTGAGAAATTTCTCTGTCGTGCACACAGCAGTTGTAACTGAAGTATTAGAGGGCAGACTGGGAAGCAGGCAGGATGGACTGGGTAAAATCCCCTTGAAAAGGAGTATTATTAAAAAGACTGACATCAGAGGTTGGTGGAAAGCAGTAGCTGAAACCCATTTTTGGTAGTATTCATAGCTCATTTTACCTGGTGACTGCTGAAATTGGTTGAAGACAGATTTTTTTTTAAAAAAGGCGTAACTTGAAGAAGTGGGATCCAGCGGTGTTTGCCAAGAAACACATATACATAGGAGTTGACTGATTAAGCTTCTTAGGGTATATCTTAATAGTAAATGCTAAATAAAGTGAGAGTTTTGTTGTTTTAAACTAGAAATTGATTACCAGAAAGATGGTGTGACTGCCAGTGTCCTAAGTCCTGATGCCAGGACCTTCAGCTACTGATGGTTGGTGTAAAGTTTTCCACAGGACACTGTGGACTCTCAAAGCCATCATCTTTGAGCAAACACCTGCAGTATGTTATCTTGGCAACATTTTGCAGGGCAAAGGCTGCCCTGCCTCCTGTTGTTGTTTCCTTGCCCCTCTCCAAACCTGGGGTGTCTGTTTTGCTTCACAGTACTGTAATTCTGCATTGTATCTCTTTATTCATTTTCATTTGTGTATTTACAATAGATGTTAGACCAAGTATATTAGCATTCTTTGCCAAATAAAGTTCCCATTGAAAATGAGAGTTGTGAGACCTCCTAGGAATTCTTTTTTGAGAGTCAAGCTTTAGAATGCCTTGTGGTCTATTTTATCATTTCTGTAAAACAAATTTCCTTAAAATGAAGAGTTACCTGAAAATAAGGGTAAGGAGAGACACCATGAATTCTGAGTTAGCTTGATTTCTTTATGAAGAATCACAGATACCTTATATCTGTAGGACTGTCATTGTTGATTGTTTTTGTTGTTAGTGTTCTCCTAACAACTAGTTCAGCTATCACTAGTGTTAGTTGTTAGATTTACTATTTGTGCTACTGTAGTATAAGCAGATTTCAGTTGACGTATTTTTTAAGATTGAGGACTTTGGGAAAGAGGCATTGCATTTCTTGCTTGGGAGGAAACTTCCTGAAAAGCTGTCATAGTATTTATATGCTTGAAACTGTGACTCTTAACTGGTGTGCCTTGAGATAGGCCAGAAATTCTTGTTTTCCATCTTTGTTGTCCTGAACATAGGAGTTCAATTCAGTCGCTCAGTCGTGTCCAACTCTTTGTGTGAGCCCATGGACTGCAGCAGCCAGGCTTCCCTGTCCATCACCAACTCCCAGAGCTTACTCAAACTCATGTCCATCGCATTGGTGATGCCATCCAACCATCTCATCCTCTGTCACCTGCTTCTCCTTCTGCCTTCAATTTTTCCCAGCATCAGGGTCTTTTCCAATGAGTTGCTTCTTCGTATCAGGTGGCCAAAGCATACGGGTAGGGTAAGATAAATAAAATCTTCCTTTTACCCATGGGGGAAGTGAAGCAAATTAAAATATAATGATCATGGTACTTGTGATATATGTTGCTGTTAGAGTATGATTTAGATCCATACTGTCCAGGGTGGTTATTCCTCCACCTGTGGCTCCCTCAGCTCCCTCACTTAGTCCAAACTGAGATGTACTCAAGTGTGAGATCACACTGGGTATTGAAAACTTTGTATGAAAAAAGATCTTGTTGACACTTAAAAAAATAAATTATGTTTCAATTGCAACCACTTTTTACATGTTGAAATAATGCTTTTGATATATTGGATTAAATAAAGTGTATTATCAAAGTAAATTTAAAATGTATTTTAATGTGATCACCAGATAGTTTTGAATTATATATGTGGTTCCTATTTCTATTGAATTGTACTGATCAAGAATATAAAGTGTTTGCTGGGATTATAACATAATATTCTCTGACTTGTACAATTTGAAATTTGGAGACAGAGTATTTGAAGTAGAATTATGATACAGCATATACATTCAGATTACTTTGATATATTTAAATTTATTTGCATTTTGGAAAACTGGCAAGTATTCCTAACAACTGTTTTAAATACCAAGAAGAGTTTTAGCAATTGTTCTTGGGTTATCAGTGACACTTAAAAGTGCAAAGCAGAGGCATTACTATGAATCACTACCAACTGTAGTGTGGCCCCTGCACACTCAGCAGATTGAATAGGCCTCCCAGGCAGCTGTAGAGTGTGCGTTGCTGAGGAGGAGGGCTGGTCGGTTTCAGAAAGGGCTTTTGGACAGCTCGGGTCTTAACTCCTCTTTCCGGGCAGATGATGCTTGTACGGCACAGGTGGAACTGACCCCAGTGTGGTTTACCTCTGAGTTCAGAATTGACTGACAACGATGTAAGTGGGTGGGTTTATGACGCAGTAAATGATAGGAAAAATTTACCAGGTTTGTTGAATAAATAAGGTGAAACGTGGAACAGAGCTATTTATAGTCTTCATTTTACAGCATAGAGTTCTTATTTTACACGTGACAATTTCAGTCATTTCAGGAGTTCGACTGCTGAATAAAGATGATGTGATTTTTATCTTTAGTATTTTTAAAAAAAATCCTTATTTTCTTAGTGATTAAGTGAAGCCGCTCAGTCGTGTCCGACTCTTTGCGACACCATGGACTGTAGCCTAACACGCTCCTCCATCCACAGAATTTTCCAGGCAAGAGTACTGGAGTGGGTTGCCATTTCCTTCTCCAGGGGATCTTCCCAACCCAGGGATCAAACGCAGGTCTCCCACATTGCAGGCAGATGCTTTACTGTCTGAGCCACCAGGGAAACCCTGTTGTCCCTTAATATTGGAGTTGGGGTGAAAAATTTATAGGATTTTGGATTATTGTTCTGTCTTGATTTTGTGGATTTTTCCTGCTTAGCATCAGAAACTTTAGACGTACATTGTTGTAGAAACTTAAATTTTTTTGTTTAATTGGTGATAATACTGTAATAAACATTACACTGTGTATTGTACACTGTGAAAAGGAGTGTTTTCATTGGTTATAGATTTCATAGTCAGACAGTGAAGTGGTCAACAGAAACCAACAGACCATAGATTTCCAAAACTGAGAACAGCAAAACATAATTAAAACCATAATGTGAATGTGATTGCGGGGAAGGGTGGTGATGGTAGAAACAGTTAACAATTGTAAGTGATATCAGAAAATGCTGATTACTAGCACATGCCAGTTGATATTAACAGAATGTTGGAAAAATCTGATTTTACAGTATATTTTAGATAGGGTTTTTATATGTTTGGGGCTGACTATTGGCTTATATCCTTCTTTTTTTCCTTTTAGAATATGGTTTCTAGTTTTAGGGTTTCTGAACTACAAGTGTTACTAGGCTTTGCCGGACGGAATAAAAGTGGACGTAAGCATGACCTCCTGATGAGGGCGTTGCATTTATTGAAGAGTGGCTGCAGCCCTGCGGTTCAGATTAAAATCCGAGAATTGTATAGACGCCGATACCCGCGGACTCTCGAAGGCCTTTCTGATTTATCCGCAATCAAATCACCGGTTTTCAGTTTGGATGGTGGCTCCTCACCTGTAGAACCTGACTTGGCTGTGGCTGGAATCCACGCGTTGCCTTCCACTTCAGTTACACCTCACTCTCCGTCCTCTCCTGTTGGTTCTGTGCTGCTTCAAGATACTAAACCCGCGTTTGAGATGCAGCAGCCGTCTCCCCCAATCCCTCCTGTCCATCCTGATGTGCAGTTAAAAAACTTACCCTTTTACGATGTCCTTGATGTTCTCATCAAGCCCACGAGTTTAGGTAAGTGTTAGAGAAATCCGTTTCTTCTGGACAAGAGGGTAAATAATGCAAGAGGGCTTCGACTGTTAAGTAATGAATTGCTGTTAATATTATAAAATCAAGGCATTAAAATGCCAAATGCTTAAATGTACAGGTAAAAAGAAATACGGGCAACCATGACAAATCTGGCATAAAACTTAATTCGTTGATCAAATTTCCTTTTTACAGCTTAGAACTCAAATTGCTTCAGTGTGTATACGAACAGACACAAATCGTATTTATTGCCTGGGATTCTGCCTTTTGATATTTTTGCTGTTTTTACAGAGACTTAGTTTCTGTTCAACATGGCTTTTAAAACTGTTTTTTTCAAGAAATAAATCTTTTTTACTTAAATTTTTCCTAAAGTGACAGAGTTTGCCACATTTTTTAGCTTTTTGTTTAATAACCTGTGACTGCGCAGAAAATGTAGTAAATTTTATATTGTTAGACATTGATACATGTGACTCCAACAAATTTTTACCTCAATCGATGACTTCTGTGCTGTAATGGCATAATTTGCTGCTGGCTAATGAAATTATTTACAGAGGTATTTGAATTTGTTGATAAATTGTTCGGGAAATGACATTTCATAGTTAGGCTGGGAGATCATTTTCCTGTCCATCCTAGGAAAAACACTTTTTTTGTTTCAAGTCATTTGAAAACTCTTAAATATATTAATATGCTTTTTTCATTTTGCATAGGATTATGCTTGTACATCTTGGTTGAGCTAGAAGGAAGTTTTGAGGTTAATGGGGTCAGTATGGCCTGATAGTAGTAGGCTCCTTATGTTGTTTTGTTTAGCACAGCTGAACCAGGCAGGTAGAATAATGTATTTTATCTCTTCATTACATTCATTCTGAAATAAGGACTCTGTATTTGTTCATGTTTTATTGTTTGTACAGTCCTGTGAGCAGAATTATTGCATCATAGAGTGAGGACTCCTGATAACATTGTGCTAGGTTAGTTTCCAGTACAACTGTGCCAGTGTGAATTCCACGAAGTGAGAGACTGTCTCTCATTGCAGTTTTTCTTCCAACTTTTATCTTGTTTAGATTTTTCATTTCTAAAATTAATAACAGGAACAAACATCTAAAATGTGTATTACCTATAACTGTGTTTCTTTTATGGTTTTACTTTCATTTTTAACTTCTTTTTTAACCAGGTTCGTTTATCTGGTTAAAATGTTTCCATAATTTATTTCTCCTTTTTTCATGGTTTTTGATTTGTATTAGTGCATATGTAGTATCGTTCACATGTTTCTTAGCAATCACTATAAAATTATTTCTTTGTGTTTGGAGAAAGATTCAGATTAGTAGTGTGTGTAGGTGACCCTGCCTCCAGGGACTCCTCAGGAATATGGCTAAAGGCAGGACTGAGAAGAAGAGGCCGTCTGGGGTCCTGGTTCCAGTGGAAGGTTGAGTGCCTGGAAGGAAGACGGCTGGAGATGGAGAGAAGATGCAGCAAGGTGTCTTCTCTGCCCCTGGCATCCGTGGGGCACCAGGCAGCAAACTCTGAAGAGGCTTCATGGAGTGCTTCGCGTTTCGTGCTTTCCTTGTGTTCAGAAAGAGAAATAGGAATTTGGTTACTTTTCCATGTTCTTCATGGGTTTTTCTTTCATTAACCTCAGTAAGGTTAAAGGAAGATAGTAGGCTTTTTATAAATTTTCTAAAATTTTTGTATCTTGTGTGACTTAATAATGCATTAATAATAGTACTGGAGGCATTTTGTGTTGAAGAGTGATTAAGAAGAAAACCTGCCTTTTGCTCATAGTTTACATTAGAATGTAAGAGATGCATATAACCTCGGGACTTAGAAAATAATCTTTTGCTCCTGAGCTAAAAAATTGTCAAGGTGTGTATTTTTCAAGAGTTCTGCTTATTGTTGTTTCTGTAAACTTTATAAACTGATTTCTTGTTTTAAAACAAGGCTTAAACATTTCCTTATCCTGCTTTCCCTAAGAAAGAAAAGAAAACAATTTTCTTAATGTATATATTCTTGGATTCATAAAAGTGATCTAAAAAAGGCTAGTATCGTACTGTCTAAAGCAATGCAGTGACATTCAGGAATTGCTTTTAAGTTTTAATGATTTGGTTATATCATATTGAAAATACTTGTAAAAATAAAAATTTTGGGTAAATCCGTTTATTTGAAACACTGTTATGGAGAAGCCTACTTACATTTGGGAAATGAGAAGTAGAAAGTGTTATGAATTGAAAGAGATCCAAAACCATATTTCAGAGCACATATTCTTGACATCCATATTCTTGATTTAATATATAGTTGATTAAATGATTTATAAGCCATCAACATATTGTTGAGCAGGAATTAATTAACAACATGGGAAAGACTGGAAGAGCCCTCATAGGAAAAAAACAACAACTGAGAAGTCAAAAATTGTTACAAAACCTCTTGGGAACATACATTGAAACCAATAGCCTCTTAGTATTGAGGGATTCGCTGTTACAGCAAGGTGCATCTGTAGATGCTAAACAAAACTGTCATGACATATACATTTTACTTAAGAAGATACATTGTATTATATAGTTTTGCAATTTGGTATTATTTCTGTTAAAATTATTTTAGCATTTAAAATGATAGACTATTGCATCTAGAAAGTGTGAGTGTATACAATAATACTATATGAATTTCCCTATAGCTGAGGTTTTACTGTAACAAATGAATTATCCCCTAATCTGAAAACAAGTTAATAAAATTTCTCCTCTCCCTTAGATAGCTATTCTCATTTGCTTTTGCTTTCACTGGAAGTATTTTTGTCTTTTGTTTTTTTTTTTCCTATTTTCTGTTTCTTTTTTTTTATCCTTTTGATGATGAAATCCTTTCTCGTTAAAAAAATTTGTGTATATTCAGTCTATAAAAGAATATATTAAAGACATTGTTATAAAGAATATCTATGAACGAAAACCTGTGAAACCACTACCCATTTTTTAGGAAAGGAACATTGCCAGTATCTTTGAAACCTTCTTGCCTTTTCCTCTTTGAGTTAAATCACTGTTCTGGATTTTCTGTTTCCTCTTGCTTGTTTTACCATATATGTGTGAGAAAAAGTAATGTTCAGTTAACTTGCTTTTGAAATGTATATGTGGTATACTGTGTATATATTCTTCTGTGACTAGCTCTTTTTGTTCATTCTCTTTTTAAGCATCTACATGTTGATGTGTCAAACTGTTTTAATATTATGAAATACCTTCAAAATATTGAGTCTTTGATTCCTTAAAGTTTCTTCACTTTTTCAGTTTACCAAAGTAATTTATGCTAGTAATTGATAACTTAAGACATGAAAGCATAACAGAAAGGAAAAGTCCCTCGTAGCCACAGTTATTACACAGCTAGAGTCATTATCAGTAATTTAACTGTTTCTCTGGCATATTATGTCATCTTCTTTCTCATTTAAAAAAATTCTCACTTTTCTTTATTAAAAATGCCCTTTCTTACCACAGAGCCACTGTGCCACTTTTCTGGTGGAGGGACAAGGGCATTATTCTACTTGAATCGACAGTGAAAAGCACCTTCTGGAGTTCTGTGCTGTGACAGTCTTAACTGTATCTCTTAGAAATAAATGATGCATCTGTAGATGATAGTAGGTCTGTTATCCTGTAGATGTACCACAGCTGAACCAGTGTTCTGTTGATGTACGTTTTCAGTTGTTATTTATTTTCGTGTATAACATGTCTTGGGGCACTATTCTTGCAGTCTTACAGCCATTGCTGTTGTGAGCATTTTTGCATATGTCTCTGAATACTCGCACTGCATATTCACAAAGGGTAAATGCCTTGATGTGAATTTGTTGGGTCAGGGGGTATAATTATGTACTATTTTGATATTCAGCTTTTGTAGAGAAGTTTGGCAGTTGCTTCAAAAGCATTGTACCAGTTTCTACTTCCAGTAATGTATGAATGTGTTATTTTCCTTATACGTTATTAGCATTGTATTGTTGGTCTTTTAATCTTTGTAATCTGGTAGGTAACAGAGTTATAAAGGTCAGTATCTTTCCATAGTATTAAATTTCTGAATATTAGGAAATACTCATTAAGCCTCTGGGTACAGTTAACGGTTAATGGACTTCCCTGATGGCTCAGTGGTAAAGAATCTGCCTACAATGCAGGAGATGTGGCAGGAGCCGTTGGTTTGATCCCTGGATCTGGACAATACCCTGGCGAAGGGAATGAAAACCCACTCTAGTATTCTTGCTTGGGAAATCCTATGGACAGAGAAGCCTGATAGACTACAGTCCAAGAGGTTGCAAAACAGTTGGACACAACTTGGCAACTAAACAACAACAATAACAAAGTGATATGCGCATTAATGTAAAGCCATTAAAATATAATCTCATAACAAGTGCGTAATGAGGGTTTAATTGGATACGGTTATGTAGCCTAATTGTAGAGAAGTCAGAAGTATGGCTTGGGCTTTAGGAATTTTACTGTTTAATTGGAGAGAATGTTAAGGTGACAGGAAAGTAGCAAGCAGTTATATGCTTGTATGATGAAACCCTATAATTTGTGAACCTAAAGCTTAAGTATTGTCTTGGCCTAATGAATGGGAAAGTTAATCTAGACTTCTTGGGAAAGTTAATCAAGACTTCTTGGAGTAAGAGTGGTGACTTGAGGGAGCTTTGAAGGACGAATGTGCCTGCTCTGAATCGTTGAAGTTTATGGGAGAGTAGACATCAAGAAAAGAGAGATCAGAGTAGTCAAAGGAGTAGAAATAAAAATGGCACAGTTCTGAGACCTGATAGTGAAGAAACTGCTTTGACTAGAGCAGGACTTAGGGAGACATCGCAATTGTAGGTTTGCTAGGAACGACACTGTCATGGAGGTCCTTATAAATAAGGCACTGTGAACGTGGTTCATTCAGAGATAAGATGCTCTTAGCATTTTTCAGCAGGGGAACGATGATGAAGAGGTTTTACGAAGGATGACCAGCTCTGCATTTCTGTTCAGCAGGGAGGCAGGGCTGCCCCTTCACTTGTACAAAGTGATTCTAGGTTTTGGGGAGGACGGTGGTGGTGAAAATAGGAGGCAGTTGATAAGAAAATTAAAAAAGCAAATCAAAACAACGGAACTTAATGAGGCACTGGTTACAGGGGTGAAGATGGAGGACTAAAGGGAAGGAAAAGAGTAATTTCTGTGATTGAACAATTGGTAACAAGTCTCCTCACTCAATTCTGAATTAAAGCCGCTGTTTTATAGGAAGCATGAATGCTCAGCACTCTGCCCTCCCCAAATGATCTTTGTAGCTGATGTATTTATGGAGTGAAAAGTATTTTAGTATTAAACATCACTGATGATAATTAATATGACTGTTTTTGTAAAGATAAAATTTAGGTGATTCAAATTTGCTATATTCTGTTTAAATCTCATAAAATTTGAAAAATTTTGGTGCGTGCATAGGAGGATTATTTTAAAATGTTCTCATAAAGCAATCTTTAGTGATAATTGTAACTGATTGATTATTGGAATTTAGATGTGTATTCAGTCAAGTGTTCATTGAAGGCATTCATTGTTTAAATGAGTACTAGAACAAAATTGAATAATGGGTCAGTGTAAAACTATGAAAAGTTCTTTGTGAAGAAAATACATGTCAATTTTTAAAAATGCACTTCTGAAGAATGACTTCATTAGATAATCTTTTTTAACTATATAATCTTCTGTATGCTGAAAATTATTTATGTCTTAATAACTCTCCCAACTTAGAAGTTTCAGAGTTTTAATTTTCTCTTAAATGAGTGCTCTGTGTATGTAATTGGGTACAAAGTGTTGAAAACAAAACACAACATGAAAGAAACAAAACAAACAAAAACTCCTGAATCTTGACTAGAGTTCTCCTGGGGAGAGTTTTTTTTTACTTCCTCAGACTTTTCATTGAAAGATACTTGTAGTCAAGGATGAAATGTAATAATTTTGAAGGGTTGTGTTATATTTTGATTAGAATATTACAATAAAGAATGGTAAATATTTAAAATTGAACCTGCTTTAGAGTGACCTTACTTTCATGATTCCAAGATGCATGTAACTCAGTACTTTATTTTGGTGTATTTTAACAATAAAAATTTCAAAATTTGGCAGAGTCGTTATCAGAAGTGCCTGGTTATTGTAGGTTTTTCTATTAATGAATTTGTTATTGGAATACTACCTTTCTTTTTTTTCCTCCCCAGTTCAAAGCAGTATTCAGCGGTTTCAAGAGAAGTTTTTTATTTTTGCTCTGACACCTCAACAAGTTAGAGAGATATGCATATCCAGGTAAGAGGAGTTTGGAATGTGTTTTCTGGGTGTTGGTGTCTTAGTCTGCTCTGCCTGCTATAGTAGAGTACCACAGATGGGGTGGCTTAAACAACAGAAATTTTTCTTCTCACATTTCAGGGGACTTGAAATCCAAAAGTAATTGACAGGTTTCATTTCTTCTGAGGCCTCTCTCCTTGGCTTGCGTTGCAGGTGGCTGCCTTCTTGCTGTGGCCTTTTCACATGGCCTTCCTCTGTGTGCCTGTGTATTCCTGGTGTGTCTTCCTCTTCTTATGAGGACAGTAGTCCTGGTGGATTAAGGCTCCCCCCTTGGAACCTCATTTAACCTTAATGACCTCTTTAAAGCCCCGACTTCATAGTCACATTGGGAGTTAGGGCTTCAGCATATGAATTTTGGGGGGGACACAATTCCGTCCATAACAATTGAGCCATTTCTCCTTAAGCAAGCATAGTATACTTTGACTTAGGTTAGGCAGATATTTAATAAATACTCTGGAACCAGACATCTTGGAGTGTGAAGTCAAGTGGGCCTTCGGAAGCATCACTACTAACAAAGCTAGTGGAGGTGATGAAATTCCAGTGAGCTATTTCAAATCCTAAAAGGTGATGCTGTTAAAGTGCCACACTCAGTATGCCAGCAAATTTGAAGAACTCAGAAGTAGCCACAGAATTGAAAAAAGTCAGTTTTCATCCCAGTCCCAGAGAAGGGCAGTGCCAAAGGATGCTCAAACTGCTGCACAGCTGCACTCATTTCACACTCAGCATCCTTCAGGTAAGGCTTCAGCAGTATAGGAAACCAGAACTGCCAGATGTGCAAGCTGGATTTACAGAAAGCAGAGGAACCAAAGACCAAATTGCCAACATCCGTTGGATCATAGAAAAAGCAGGCGAATTCTGGAAAAACATCTGCTTCATTGACTGCACTAAAGGTTTTGAATGTGCAGATCACAACAAACTGGAAAATCGTTAAAAGAGATGGGGATACCAGGCCACCTTACCTGCCTCCGGAGAAACCTGTATGCAGCTCAAGAAGCAACAGTTAGAACCAGACATGGGACAACAGATTTGTTCCAAATTGGGAAAGGAATATGTCAAGGCTGTATATAGTCACCCTGGTCATTTAACTTATATGCATACATCATGTGAAATTTCAGGCTGGATGACGCACAAGCTGGAATCAAGATTGCCAGGAGAAATATCAATAACCTCAGATATGCAGATGACACCACCCTTATGGCAGAAAGTGTAGAGGAATTAAAGAGCCTCTTGATGAAAGAGGAGAGTGAAAAAGCTGGCTTAAAACTCAGCATTCAGAAAATGAAGATCATGGCATGCGGTCCCATCACTTCATGGCAAACAGATGGGGAAACAATGGAAACAGTGACAGACTTTATTTTCTTGGGCTCCAGAATCACTGCAGATGGTGACTGCAGCCATGAAATTAAAAGTTGCTTGCTCCTTGGAAGAAAAGCAATGACAAACCTAGACAGCATATTAAAATGCAGAAACATTACTTTGCTGACAAAGGTCTGTCTAGTCAAAGGTATGGTTTTTCCAGTAGTTATGTACATATGTCGGAGCTGGACAATAAAATAGGCTGAGCACCAAAGAATTGATGCTTTCGAACTGTGGTCATGGAGAAGACTCTTGAGAGTCCCTTGGACTGCAAGGAGATCCAACCAGTCCATGCTAAAGGGAATCAGCCTGGAATATTCATTGGAAGGAAGGACTGATGCTGAAGCTGAAGCTCCAATACTTTGGCGACCTGATGCGAAGAGCCGATACATTGGAAAAGACCCTGATGCTGGGAAAGATTGAAGGTAGAAGGGGACAACAGAGGATGAGATGGTTGGATGGCATCACCGACTTAGTGAACATGAATTTGAGCAAACACTGGGACAGGGAAGTCTGGTGTGCTGCTGTTCATGGGGTCACAAAGAGTTGGAGATGACTGAATGACTGAACAACAATTAGAAAAACATTTTAATTTTTGAATAAAACCCCTTTGAATTACTTTTTGTCACTTCTGGCAGTAATTTTTTTTTTAATGAAAATTTAATTCCAAATATTGCAACATAAAAAAGAATTGTGTTAACAGCCCCAAAGATAGAATGACATAAAGTTCATCACCCAGATGCTTTTTTATAGTGGATGTGGACATTAATAATTTTTCTGGGATAAGAATATAAACTAGAGGACCATTCTGAGCTATGTGGTTACTTGGGCCAAAAAAATTAGCAGAAATCTGAAAACAATTATGAAAAGTACTCTGAGCTTTGCCATTTCAAAAAATAGGATAAACTTAAACACCTTTATTAAGAGCAATGAACTAAAAACATAGGAAAGAAAAAGAAATCTGTACTATATACTTTTCCAATTAAATAAGTCATCTTTGGTGTTAATACATTATTTATAAGACTTTAAAAAGATTTAAATGATATTCTGGAATTGTAGAGTTAAAATTTGGAACCCAGAATTGAGCAAATTAGAGATCTTTTTGCATCCTTTCAGCTCTTCTTTAGAACACTTATCTTCTGTGAGATGTTAATACAAGTTTTTAAAAAATAAAGGTCCTGCAGTTAAGTTTTGGAAATCCTATATTCAAGGTAGTTTCAAAAGTTCTTCAAGTCAGACTTTTCAGTCTTTCTTATGTTAATGTGCCTTCTCAATCTCCTAAAACGGATCAGAATTTATGGATTTCTCTTAAACACCCTAACATCTTGAAGATGAACACAATGTTGTCAGGTGGAATAATATGGGATACAACTTTAGATTCTTTCACTGATCACATCACTGCTCTCAACAAAGCCTCAGAATAATTTTATACCTTGACTTGGTAAAATTTGAGCTCCCCAGAAGGGAAAAAGACCAAACATTGAACAGTAAAAGAGAAAAAAGGGGACAGTACTAAGGGTTAGTCCAAAAGACCCAATATCCAAATAATAGGGGTTTTGGAAAATTTAGAGAAGGAAATTATCAAAGAAGTAAATTGAATGTATATGTTCACTGGTGGCAAGAGATTGCAGGAAATTTTTATGTTGGAAGTACTTTCAAACTTGGGAGTACTAATAAACCAACTGAGAAATGAATAGGGTAAATTAAAAGTTATATTTTATATCCCAAGCCACATCATTATTATTTAGTATTGTTTGTTATTCACTGATGATCCCTTGCTTGAGAACATTTACTAAGGGTTCATTAGCTACAAAGCATTATATTATATGGCATGTCTCCTTTCCACAAGTTGCAATCTAGTTAATGAACTGGCTTATATACATAAAATGATTGTTGGCATTACAGGGTGTCACATGGAAAACACCAATGCAGTAATGACAAATAAGAGCTGACTTATAGATGGAGGAGATGGCCTTTGATGGAGGGAGATTATTTAATCACTAGGTTTCAAGATACATTTGTAAGTGAACAAATCAAAGCATGGAAATTGAATAACATGTACCATTAGTTAGCCTTAAAAAGGGCCTCCCTGGTTGCTCAGCTGGTACAGAATCCGCCTGCAGTGCAGGAAAGTGAAAGTGAAGTCGCTCAGTCATGTCCGACTCTTTGCGATCCCATGGATCCTCCATCCATGGAACTTTCCAGGCAAGAATACTGGAGTGGGCTGCCATTTTCTTCTCCAGGGGATCGTCCCAACCCAGGGATCCAACCAGGGTCTCCAGCATTGCAGGCAGACGATTTTACCGTCCGAGCCCCCAGGGCAGCCCTACCTCAATTTGGTTCCTGGGTGGGGAAGATCCCCGGAGAAGGAAATGGGAACCCATTCCGTATTCTTGCGTGGAGAACCCCATGGACAGAAGAGCCTGGTGGGCTGCAGTCCATGGGGTCGCAAGGAGTCAGACACGACTGAGTGACTGAGCACACACACTGTCTTAAAAAGGCGTGTGTGTAACTTGCTTAAGTCTATAGCATATGTCTGGACAAATGTGGTAAGTTGCCTCTGGAGGGGGGAATCAGGTGGCCGTGGTCCAAGTTGAGGGAAATTTTTCACTTTATATCTTTTTTAGTCTCTTTTTGAAGTTTGAACTGTGTGAATGTTATTAGTCAAAAAATGAATTACTAATTAATTTCAATAAAAATTTTTAATCATGGATGTCTCCGGGATGGATGGTAGTGATGGTATAGTATAAATGTACTTAAAGCCACAAAACTATACACTTTAAGATGGTTAACATGATAAATCTTACCTTAGGAATATTTATCCACAAAAAAATTTTAAAAATACTAACTGTAATAGGCTATTAGTGATCCTCCCAACAAAAAAGACAAAAGACACCCATGTTGTCCATGCAAGCTCCAACCTTTACAGAGTTGGATAATCAAATAGTAAAAAAAATTTTCCTTACAAGTGGGAGTAATAGCTTGGTACTCATTACCTGGCTTTAATAATTATCAACATTTTGGAATCTGTATGTGACCACTCCTCAACTTTTTTTCCTGAAATATTTTAAAACCCATCTCAGACATCATGTAGTTTCACCCAAAAATATCTTGATACATCTCTTATTAATTTTTAACATAATCACACTAAAAATGATTCACATTAAACAATGTCTAATCTGTATCCACATTTTCAGGGTTGTTTTCAGTATTGAAATATGGCCTGTGTATTATTTTGATTTTTATGTCTCACACAATTAAAAAACTTTTTACTTTAAGCTAATTATAGGTTTATAGAAGAGTTGTGAAAGTAGTAGAAAATACTCTTCATCGAGTTCCCTTAATATTAACATGTTTCATAGTTATAAGTGGAAGTTATCAAAACCAAGAAATTAACCTTGGTGCAATACTGTTAACTATAGACCTTACTCAGATTTTATCAGTTTTTCTACTAATTAATCTCTATTCCTGGGTTCATTCCAGAATCCCAAATCACATAGAATAGATGTATCACTGATGTCTTTCAATCTGTGATGGTTTCTTAGATTTTCCCTCGTGTTTCATAACTTTTGATACTTCTATTGAGTCTGGTCAGAAATTTTGTA